GCCCGGTCCACGCCCCCGCCCACCCGGCGCCCGGGACTTCCATGACTACCCTGCGCCTCTCGGAGACGGCCCCCGGCAGTGCGCATGCGCCGGCGAGCCTCCGCCGCCCCCGAGCGAATCGCCATCCTCCCAGCCCCCCGCTCGGGCGCGTTCCAGCCACGCGGATGCTGTGCCCGGGGCGTGCGTGCAGCGCTGGCAAAGATGCGCGTTCACAGGTTCCGCCACGGAGCGCGAGGGAGGAACAGCAGCCCGAGGTTAGAGAGGAAAGGCCAGGACCTCCGCAGATCTCGGTCCCTAACTTGGTGGGAAGGAAAAGCACCCTGCGCACGTCGGCGGGCGCGGGTCCCCTAAATGAATGGGGGGAAGACTTCGGGAAGAGGCCTCTGAAGAGGGTGGCAGGTAGGGGTGAAGGGTTGCAGTCCGAAACCTGCCTGAATAGAGCTCTTCTCTCCAACGAGAACCTATGTATTCTTTCTAACTTTTTACGAGATAAAAACAAACGGCTCACCAGGCCTCCTTCCAGTCCCTTTCATCAGAGGGGCCTGAAAATTTTCAATCCTCCAATTTATCAGTGAGCCTCTAAGAATAATTCCTAGAGCAGGATCGCCTGGTTAATCCGCTTCCCGAGCGCCTCCCCAGCTCAGGAACCCCGGAGGCAGTTGGCTATTCGCTCTGGGTCACTGTGCCGCCCAAACCTTCCGTGCTCAGAGTTCCCTCAACCCCTGCATCCAGGTCACTGTGACCCCAAAGTGTTGTTCCCGCCGTACCCTCAACTCCGGCCCTGAGCCACTGTGCCTCCGTAATTCTACTCTGGGACACTGAGTCCCCAAATTCTGTCCCCCAGCTCTAACAGCCACAGGCCCAGGCAGTGAAATTCCGAACGTTCCTCCCGCGGGGTGTCTTCCTGTTTTTTTACCCTCGAGCCTCGCCACCCTGCCTGGGGCTGCAGGGGTGTGGCGCCCGCGAGACCGCTCGGGGCCCCCTCTGCCAATCAGGGTGCCGCACACCCCCCGCCGCGGCCAATCCTCGGCAGCCGTGCGGCTCCACCCCCTCACCTGGGGAACA